AACATTGGGCAATAAATTACATTTGACTTTTGTTTCCCTGTCTGTAAAATGAGATGACAATAGTACCTTATTTGTAGAGCTATTAAATGAACTTTAGATAATGCATGAAAACACTAGGTACAGTTTTAGCCCATAGTAAGTATAAATTATTGCTTGCTTATTTTTGTTATTAAATTTATTATCATTATTAGTTTAAGAATGATCATTCCAGTTGAGTTAGAAGAGGTAAGATTAATTGAAGCAAAACCTGTGAGTAATTTAGGCAAGAGAGGATTGTGACTTGGAGTATTGGCAGAACAGATAGAGAAAGATACTATTTGAGAGAAGTTCCAGAAATACTTGGCATTTGGTGATTGACTGAATGAAGGAGATAAATAAATGGGAGAGAGGAAAGAGTAGAAGATGAGTCAGAGGACCTCAGACTGGTTTTGGAATGACATTGATACAAATACATCCCTATCAGATGCATTTAAATAATATGTTAATCAACATTTAAAGCTCATTTTTACTGAATAATAAGTAGTAGGTAATGCCCAGAAGTGTATCTTATGAATTTGAAGAACTGAGATTGATCCTTTCTCCTCTGTAATATTTAAGCTAGTGAATAGGTTGAGAGAAGAATAAATATAACTTGAACAGTCATTTCCCTTTTTTGTTTTATGTTTCCTCTTTTGGCCTTATTTTCTTTTTAGTTCTGTCACTTTTTAGTATTAGATTGAACCATATAGAAGTTGCCAGTTTTGTAGATCGGAAAATATTTATCCAGAAATGAAATGGTTAAATACTGGCCATTTTACATGGCTCATCCAGTTATATTCTCATTCTGTAAGAATTTTTAACTAGGGCTCTGAGCATCCGTTTTGAGTTAAATTGAGCATCAAAGCCTGTCTGAAAGATGCTGTGATGGCATAAGGACCAGTAGAACTGAGTCCCATGAAGTAGGTGACTTAAACCTGGCATCATCCACTTACTGTGGCTCTGGGAAGACATCTCATGGCCAGAGTTTTTGTTAGCTTTACTGAAAGGGACATGTCATATACTATTTTGGCTGTTTTTTAAAACCTGATTATAGGGGTGCCTGGGTGGCTCAGTCGTTAAGCATCTGCCTTCGGCCCAAATCATGATCCTAGGGTCCTGGCATCGAGCCCCGCATCAGGCTCCTTGCTCGGCAGGAAGCCTGCTTCTCCCTCTCCCACTCTCCCTGCTGTGTTCCTTCTCTCACTGTGTCTCTCTCTGTCAAATAAATTAAAAAAATAAATAAATAAAAACTTAAATAAAAAATAAAACCTGATTATAAAAATGGTACAGTTGACCCTTGACCAACATTCAGGTTAGGGGTGATGACCTCCCACACACACATATTTGAAAATCCACATAAAACTTTTGGCTCCCTGAAAACTTTACTACTAATAGCCTTCTATTGATTAGAGGCCTTACTAATAACAGAAACAGTTGATTAGCACATATTTTGTATGTTTTATGTATTAAATACTGAATTCTTACAATAAAGTAAGCTAGGGAAAAGAATGTTAATTAAATCGTAAGGAAGAGAAAATACATTTACAGTGTTTATTTAAAAAACCCACTTGTAAATGGACCTGTGCAGTTTAAACCCATGTTGTTCAAGGGTCAACTATACAAAGAAATTGGGAAATTTAGCAACTATAGGAAAACATAAAATAAAAAATCTCTCATTAACCCACCCATGATCGACTAAAAAGTAGACTTGATTTCCATTGTGCTTCCTTCCAATTACATGTATATGCAGAAATACTGTTGTTGTTGTTGTTGTTGTTGTTGTTGTTGTTGTTTTACCAAAAAACACAAATATATCATGAGACTGCATTATTTTTTTAAAGATTTTATTTATTTGTATGACAGACCATACAAGCAGGGGAGCAGGAGAGGGAGAATCAGGCTTTCAGCTTGAGCAGGGAGCCCAATGTGGGTTCAATCCAAAGACCCTGGGATCATGACCTGAGCCGAAGGCAGACACTTAACCAACTGAGCCACCCAGGTGTCCAAGACTGCGTTGTTTTAAAAAGGAAATGAGTAATGGGTGGAGCTAGCAAGTATTATGCTAAGTGAAGTAAGTCAGAGAAAGACAAATACCATACGATTTTGCTCATATGTGGAATTTAAAAAACAAAACAAATGAGCAAAAGGTGGGGGGAAGAGGGAGGCAAACCAGGAAACAGAGTTGTTTTTGTTTTTTTTTAAAGAGTTTGTTTATTTATTTATTTAACAGACAGAGATCATAAGTAGGCAGAGAAGCAGGCGGGGCAGAGGGGAGGTAGAGGTGGGGTGAAGCAGGCTCCCTGCTGAGCAGAGAGCCTGATGCAGGGCTTGATCCCAGGACTCTGAGATCATGACCTGAGCTGAAGGCAGAGGCCTTAACCTACTGAGCCTCCCAGGAGCCTCAGGAAACAGACTCTTAACTGTAGAGAACAAACTGATGGTTACTAGAGGTGGGGAAGGGGGGATAGGTTAAATACGTGATGAGCACCAAATGTTATATGGGAATGTTGAGTCACTGTATTGTACACCTAAAACTAATATTACATGGTAAACTTTAACTAGAATTTAAATAAAAATTTTAAAAAATGAAAAGGTAGTTTATATAGATTTTTTTTTTAAAGATTTATGTATTTATTTTACAGAGTGTAACGGGGGAGGAGCAGAGGGAGAGGGAGAAAGAGTACCAAGCAGACTCCATGCTGAGAGGGGAACCTGACTCCCAGGCTCTATCTCATTATTCCAGATCACGACCTGAGCTGAAACCAAGAGTCAGAGGCTTAACTGACTGTGCTGCCCTATACAGGCACCCCGTATAGATTTTTTTTGAGGACATAGATTTATTGCCACTTTATGTCCTTAATAATTTTTTTCTCCTGAAGAAAATGTTTTTCTTTAATCTGAAACAAAACACTTAACTCTTAACTGAGTTGATAAAGTGTGGCTCTCAAGCTTTTTGTTGTTTTGAGTTTCTAGTATGAATATTTTAATTATAGCACTAAGTGTTTTTACTAAAATAGAAATGAAGTTGAAAGAACTATTATTATACTAGTGATAGTAATGTAACAGCTTGTACTTTTATTACATTAATTCTTTCAAGCTATTAACCAATGTAACATCTTTTTTTTTTTTTATCAGCATAACTGTCTAGTTTTATACATGAGACACCTGAGTTAGAGAATAAGTTACATGACAAAATTCACAAGTGGTTAGAAAATCTTGTACTACTAACTTTGGTGAATGGCTTTTCTCTTTATTGAAATGTAACTGTCAGAAATTATTCCCTTTTTCATTCAGTATTAACCACTCAAACAATGAGAGTCCAAAAACAAAGTATGTGGTAAATGTACAGAATAGTGTGTAAGCTGGTTTGTCTGGAGGGCCAGGTGTGTGGGGGGGGTGGGTATGGAACAGAGAGATCAGATTGGAGAGGCACTAGGGAGCCGTTGACTTTTCTTGAACTGTGGGTACCATAATGAAGCATATACTATTAGATATTTAGGCAGAAATGAATAGATCAGAAAAATGAACAAGACTAGAAACCCAGACAATATGTAATGATGGCCTAAAGTATTAAAAACTGAGTTGAGAGCCACTGTAGAAACAGATTCCCAGGAACCTGTTGAGTAAGAATAGTACATTGAGTGGGGAGAGAATGGTCAAGATAATTCCTTAGTTTCTTACCTGAGGGCTTAGAAAAAAATAAAAGAGTGTTGGAACAAGAAAAAGAGGCCAGTTTGTTGAGAAAAATGTATTTAATTTTGGACATGCTGTGGGTGAAGTCTACGGGCCATTCAGGTGGAAGATGTATGTAGACTAGCAGGCAAATTGTAAATGGGAAAGAATGCTCAGGAGTAGAGTCAGGGCTGGAGACAAAGGCAGAGGAATAATTAGTGTAGAGGAATAATTAATGTCATATCATCGTTCGTTTTTTACTGCCTTACATATGTATAGCCTCATTGTATTTGAGGAATGTGTGACAGCAAAGTATCCAGAGTATCCCAGTGCCTCGTAACTGGGCAGTCACAGTAAGAGAGGCGCTTAAGGAATCAGAGGAGCCCATCCTCAAGCAGTGCAGTATGGTTGGCAGGAAAACAGACTACCTAGGAAGAAGGGTATTTTAATTCTAGGAAAAGAAAGGGAATAAAGTTTTATACCCACTACATGCTAAGTATTGTTAAGCTTTTGTATGTATACACTGTCTCCTTTATTTTGCAGTAACTGTGAAATAGGGAGTATAGTCCTCATTTTACAGATGATGAAACTGAGGGTAAGAGAGCTTTAGTAATATAAGAGCAAGGATTTGAACCACATGGGTGGTCAGTGCCATGGGTTTTTTATATGCCGCACTTTGTCATGTTTTCCAGTAAGATCTCTCAAATATAGCTATCAAGCTTATGCTCCATAGGTTTTTTTAATGTTGCCTTCCTATAATAAGCATGGTGCTTTAGCTCTTAAAATATAATTAACTAAGTTCTGATTATGGGAGGCCATTTGCTTTTATTGAGGAAGCATATATGTGAGACAAGTAAAAAATGGAAATTGGATGACATAACATGTATCCCTGCCCAGGTGTGCCGTCTTTCTAGAATGCTTAGAAATGCCAACCTTTGCTTATTTTCTTTCACCCTACTGGGTATGTGGAACTTTACTTAAAAGAATGAATCGAGAGTCCAAAGATACCTGGAGGAAAAAGTACGAAAAGTACACATTTCCAGTTAGCTGAAAAAATTGTCATCATTTATGACATTATCAGAATATAATACTGACACAGTGTAATATATCCCACAATATAATCCCAACTTGCATTGTTTAAAGTAGGCACAGACAAGATTGTGTATTCTAAGATACATAAGCTAATTTGTACCATGGAACTTTTGCAGTTTTAAAGCCTGAGTGGAAGTGGGTATATTTACTTGTCCGCTTTTTGTGTGTATTTTTGTGCACTGCTTCTTAGTAAACTAGAAGCAAGAAATGGCATCTCAAAGCTATAGGGTAGCATTGAATATAGGACAGCGTGCTTGTGTGCTGTTTCCTCAGTGTTGAGAATGGGTGAGGTTTTCTTTACTTTCTCTCTTGAAAAACTGATTTTTAAGTTTGCTTGTTATTTTTGTCATCTTTCTTAAAATTAACCAATATCCAGTGAATCATGAGAGGAAATTAATGCTGAACATTTAGCCTTCTAGCTAGAACTCCTTGTGCTACTGAATTAGGAGTCCTCAGTTGCCATGCACCGTTAACACACTTTCATTCTTTAGCATTGCTCTTTGTTCTTGAGGAAAATGCTATAAGAAAATAGGAATTTCCTCTCACCATTACCCCTTTGGCAGTGTGTTTCAATCTAATTCCTGGTTGGCATTCTGTCCCGGCTACAACCCCTTCTCTAAACTCCATCTACTAAAAGGGGGATTCCAGACAGACGAGGAAACAGCTTTCAAACACTGCACTGCAGGCATATTAAGTTATTCCCCCACTGTGCAGTCGGGAAATCAGGGACCACTTCTCTGGCAATGAATTCTAATGAGCTGCTAAGGATGCCGTAGGGTGTGTGCGCACAGGCGTTTTCTTTCCCCTCCCCCCCTTCTTCCTTTTCCCAAGCCCCCTCTTCTCCCCGTTTCCCCTCCTCCTCCTTTATCCCCTCCCTCTGTGTCTCAGTTCTGCAGTAAACGGGGCTGAGGCACATTCCTGCACTGCAAGGCTTTCTGTTAAGGATGTGTTGTGGCTTTTGTTTGGATTGCAGCATGCAGAATTACAGGTAACACTCTGAAATCGAGCTAGACAGATAAATTCTGTTGAAATGTTTTCAGATAGGCGAAATATTACGTTGGAATCAATGAAGGAAATGAATTACCTTAAGTAATTTTATTAGTGGTAGTTCTAGTAAAATATTTTCAGAAATGCTAGCGCAGATTCCTTTTCTTCCCCCAGAAGGCTCAAATGAAAAGAATGGGGTTAGATTGATCCGGCTTGCGATTGATTTTGTTTTATGTTGATCACGAAAGCTTGCTGTTGTTGCTCCTCCTCTGTAGAGTAAAGGACCAGTTATGCGGGGTGCCGCTGAGAGTAGCCATGAATAGTTGTACCGGGTGGGGTAGGGTGGAGTGGGAGGGTTGGTACCAGCCTGAGCTAGCCAGGTTCTTTGATTAGGGCATTGGATGCAAAATGTAAAATGCTCTCTCCTTTTCTTCTGTCAGCTGTTCAGAGGAGACTCATTACAACTCCTGCTGAAGCTCCTAATCTTCCTCCCTTCTCTTCTGCCCTTACCCCTACCCTCATTGGCCTGAAGACACTGTACCCAGAGTTTGGCTTACTCCCCCGGTGCTATGTGTATGGTAAACCTGGTACTATGGCCACATCTGGGACTGGCCAGACAACTGCTGCTGGTTCTCCCTATTCCAAGAAGGATTTAAAAGGGAATTATACTGCAGGCAATGCACCAGAGCAGCATCAGGAGCTTGGGGACTAAGACTCCTCTGGCATTATTGCAGACACACAGAGCTGACCGCAATGACAGCAGCTGCTCCTTTGAACTGTTGGCAGCAGCCAAGCGGCAGCATGAAGTGAGAGATCACTCCCAAGCTCAAGATGAACTCTACCTTGGATGGTAATCAGAGCAGCCACCCTTTTTGCCTCTTGACGTTGGGCAATTTGGAAACTGTCGATTTTTGCCTTTTGGAAGTGTTGATTATTGTCTTTCTCACTGTATTGATTATTTCTGGCAACATCATTGTGATTTTTGTATTTCACTGTGCACCTTTGTTGAACCATCATACTACGAGTTATTTTATTCAGACTATGGCATATGCTGACCTCTTGGTTGGGGTCAGCTGCCTGGTCCCTTCTTTATCACTCCTCCACTACCCCCTTCCAGTCGAGGAGTCTTTGACTTGCCAACTATTCGGTTTTATAGTGTCCGTTCTGAAGAGCGTCTCCATGGCCTCTCTGGCCTGTATCAGCATCGATAGATATATTGCCATCACTAAACCTTTAACCTATAATACCCTGGTCACGCCTTGGAGACTACGTCTGTGTATTTTCCTGATTTGGCTGTATTCCACCCTGGTCTTCCTGCCTTCCTTTTTCCACTGGGGCAAACCTGGATATCATGGAGATGTGTTTCAGTGGTGTGCAGAGTCCTGGCACACCGACCCCTACTTCACCCTCTTCATCGTGGTGATGTTGTATGCCCCGGCAGCCCTCATTGTGTGTTTCACCTATTTCAACATCTTCCGCATCTGCCAACAGCACACAAAGGAGATCCGCGAAAGGCAAGCCCGCTTCAGCAGCCAGAGTGGGGAGACTGGGGAGGTGCAGACCTGTCCCGATAAGCGCTATGCCATGGTCCTGTTCCGAATTACTAGTGTATTTTACATCCTCTGGTTGCCATACATCATCTACTTCTTGTTGGAGAGCTCCACGGGCCACAGCAACCGCTTCGCCTCCTTCTTGACCACCTGGCTTGCTATTAGTAACAGTTTCTGCAACTGTGTCATTTATAGTCTCTCCAACAGTGTCTTCCAAAGGGGACTAAAACGCCTCTCAGGGGCCATGTGTACTTCTTGTGCAAATCAGACCATAGCTAAGGACCCTTACACAGTTAGGAGCAAAGACCCCCTTAATGGATGCCATATCTGAAGTGGTTCAGACACTCTGGGTCGCTGTGGTGTGTATGTGTGTTTGTGTGTTTCCTTTTTCTCTCTGTATTCCTTTGCAATAGGAAATCTGGGACAAAATAATTAGACTCTAAGCAATAGCAAACAAATGATCATTCAAAAATACCCTCTAAGTTTGCAGAAATTATTTTCTAAAAAGTGTTTTTGCATCAGAAGAATCAGGACGGTGAAGATAAATTGCTCTTGGTTCCAGGTTTTGTAATGTCACAAAAATGACTACATTTTTAAGATTTAAAATAAATAAAGCCATATCTAACACCTCTCTTCAACGGGCATGACTGAACCTGGGTGTGAGAAGCGTCAGCATTTTTAAAAAGTCATTTTCTTGTCGCTTTTCTGGGTTCTTTCCAGCTGTTTGGGCTGCATATGCAATTGAATTCTTTTAATGTGGAATATTAAAAACTAGTGATGAATTAACAGGATTTAAAATTTTTCTTTATATATGCCAAAGTAGAACTACACTGCAAGTTTTAGCACTGTCATTTAGAAAGCCAAATGTTTTATGTTTTTTATGTCTTATTCTCATGAGAGAATTCTCAATACAGTGAAAAATGTGAACACCTAAACACTAATTTTAAAATTTTGCAGTGTACCATAAATGAAGCAAAAGTGCAGTCAAATCATGTAATTTTTATGAAAAATTGAGCTGCTCTCCGTGCCGTGCTTCATGGAGATCTAAAGAAACGTGTGCATAGAAAGTGATTGTGGTGTTGTATTTTTGCCCATGCTTTTGTTTATGTGTGTATTGAAAATATTTGAATTTAGATTTCTCTTTACAGCAAAATGTGTTTCAATAAGCTGAAAAACAAAAGATAGGTTAATTGCTGCCATTTTTCTGTGTAATGGTGAAAACATATAAAAGTAAATCTTTAGTCTTCTCTTTTTTTTTTTCATCCAGAGAGTTTTGAAATACCAGAATATCTGGGAGAAAGGTGTCCTAAGCAATTGAGTCAGAAAATATACAGTATATGTAACTAGTACTCTTAGAAAATAGAAGGGGATTGAGATGTTCTCTTTTTGGTTAAATGGAATCAACAAAGTAGCATCTAATTCTTTTTATAAGCAATCTTTTTAAGTTAGTGTTAAGGAATGCACATTTGAATGAGAGAAGGAAAATGAGAAAGGACATCTTTATTGCTATTCTCTTTCTGAGGAAAAAAAAAGTCCTTTGGTATAACAGTTCTTTACTTAGTCTTCCTTTTTTTAAGCCAAAGTACTAGCAAAACCTATAGGATGTTATTACTGTTAACTCTGTAGAATTATCGAGAGTGCTGTATATTTGTATGTACTAGTGCTGTTTTGTTCTTCGAGTGATTATCTTTAGAACAAGAAGTTTATTTTTCTAAAAGGAGAGAAGGACTTCCCAGGAGCTCCAGGCATGAGAGTATTTCCTCTGCTTTTTCTACTGGTTTTAATGTTTTGGAAGTCTTCAGGGGACTTACATGATCTCTGCCTTTGGCTAGATGTTATAATCTGAATACAACAATGGTATTCAGTGAGATGGAAGAAACCCAAGGGAAATGGGTTAAAGTGGCGTTTTGAATCCAAGAAAGGACACGGATATTTATAAAACAGGGAGATAGGCTTTGGGTTTTTTTTGGTCATATATTAGAAAACCTACTGCCCCCGTTTAAAGTGAAGGACAGCAGTCTTAGGATTTTAGGTTTTAGATACCAGTTTGATTTTAATCTCAAATATGTGTTCTACTTAAACTACTTAATTTCAAGTGAATCAGTGTTACATAAACATTGAAATTTCAGATTCTGAATTCTTCCCAAAAGCTTGCTTGCTTGTTCTTTATATTTACTATTAGAAAACTTGATTCTAAGCTGTTTCAATATTTAGAACTCATTAAAATTGTAAGTTATTTTAACAATGAATGGCTGTTAAATTGCCATTTGAATTGGAAAACCTTTTCTCTTGGATTCTGAAAAAAACAAAATTCCCTTTTCATACGTGTTGGAGAATGTAACCTATTCACATTTGCAGTTTGCTTGTGAGTTTTTAGTTTAGCAAAATGAGAATCTCAAAGATTTTTTTTTTATATATATATAGAAAACTGATGTTAAATCAGTGGATTTTTACTTTTGCAAGATGCTGAGCCCTTTTAATTTTTTCCTGCAATGGAGTTCCATCTTGTGAGAAAAGAGAAAACCCTTTGGTACAGATCTTACGGAAATTTTATGGAAAAGAGAAAATATCTATTTGATTTTCTGGAAGTGGCTAATCAAGCTGATTTTTTTTTTTTAAGATTTTATTTATTTATTTGACAGACAGAGATCACAAGTAGGCAGAGAGAGAGGAAGTGAAGCAGGCTCCCCGGTGAGCAGAGAACCTGATGTAGGCCTCATTCCCAGCCGAAGGCAGAGGCTTTAACCCACTGAGCTACCTGGCACCCCTCAAGCTGATTTTTTAATGACTCAGAAGACAACTCTTTTAATAAGAGCTTTTGTTAACAGATTTTTACATTTCTTTTGTCCTAGTACCAAATTTAAATGTTATTAGAAATATTTTTTCACATTAAAATCTGTCACTGTCTCTGCCTAAAACCAAAGTAGAAACTAAGTATGTGTAGTAATTTTAAAGAAAAATTCCCCCAGTCCCCCAGCTGATACTTGCTTAATATCAGATGTTTTTCCTGTTTATCTTATAGTCTTCATTGGACTATATAAAGTCTGCCTTTTCTTTTAGTTATTAGTTCTTTTCTCACCTTCAGTGTTTTTTACTGTTTTTTAATTTTGTTTTGTTTTTTAATTTTTATTTTCTTATGTGTGTATATGTTGGGGGATGAGCCTGGATGTAATCACGAAGTCTTTTTTTGTGTGTGATACATTTGAACAGTTTGTATTTAAATGACCTTTTCATCCTGGCAAATTTATTGCAGCATTTGATGACGTTTGGTTTAAATACCAATCTGGCTAGTTCAGAATGAAAAAAAAGAAAAGTATATTTTTAGATTCAATTACCTTGGGCCTTGGCAAGACAGTGCATTTAACTATATATGGTATATGACTGATAGCAGAGGAAGCATAAGCTTTTGGTGATTGTGTTGAAATTGTTTCATAGTAAATGTTCAGATAAGACAATAACTAATGGTTATGTTTGTAAATTAGTTGTACATGATTTCAGAGGAGATGTGTTTTGTTTTCCTCTTAGAACAGAAAAGCAGTTACAAAAAGATGGGTGGTCTACTTTAATGAAAGAACTGTCTTACACCAGAAAGGATATTTATATTGTTCATGGATCTGCGCACTCCCACATTCCATTTTGGAAAGGGTTTTCTTTAAGCGTTATTGCTTGATGGATTTCTTTTTGAGCCTTTTTAAGGGCTTTTCCTTTTTACTTGAATAATGGTCTTAGTATTTTTAAAGATTGGGAAAACTTGAATTTTTGTACTATAAATGCATTGTCCACTCTTTGAACTTGAAATTAAAGTAACAGGGTTACAAGTTCCCAGACAGCAGAGTGGTTTCTGGGAGTGTTTCCTCAGCCTTTCAGGTTTGATTGAAAATCTGTGCAGTGGCTTTGTGGGAAATGTTTTAATTTCGCTGTGTTTTTTGTACCATAGAAGACTTGTGAAATAAATTATTGGCAAACCAGAATTTATTGTTATATGAGCAGATTATGGGAAGATTAAGGATGGGAGAATTGTGGCATTTTTTATTTTTTAAAGTCTTCACAAATTGTTCTCTGTGTTGTTGTATAATTTTTCCATTTCAAGTTGAAGGAAACCTAATTATTTTATATTAAATGTACACATTATTAGTACATTCTGCAGATCTTGGCATTATCCTAGTCATTTCTTATAGTTGCAAATGAGTCATTAGGCTTTTCTTCAAAATTTGGGTGAAGAGTGTATCATGATATGATTAAAAGGAACTTTGAACTGAAAATAAAATATCTAGGTTTCTGTTTCAAATTAACTAGTTTTGTAAGGGCAAGTCACTTCTCTGAGCACTTAATTTCTTCTTTTTTTTAAAGATTTTATTAATTTATTTGACAGAGATGGACCCAGCGAGAGAGAGAACACAAGCATGGGGAGTGGGAGAGGGGAAAGCAGGCTACCCGCTGAACAGGGAGTCCAATGCTGGGCTCAATCCCAGGACCCTGGGATCATGACCTGAGCCAAAGGCAGATGTTTAACAACTGAGCCACCCAAGCACCCAGCACTTAACTTCTTCTATAAAAGGAGATAATCTCCTCATCCCTCATAGGGTTACTTTGACAATTGAATTAGATATGGATTTAATTTTGTAATATGTGAAGTGCTTTGCAATAAAAACACAAGTACTATTATTTGTATTTACCATGGTTTCACATCTGAAGAAGTCCACATAAGGATATGGTACCCCCCCCCCACATTAAGGTCTTAGAAGCTCGGTGTGGGTTAGCAATCCCAAATTTGGGAAGAGAGGCATGATAAACCCTCACCTTTTGAAAACAACAGTAGCATTAAATTCAGTATAAAACTATTTTCATTTACTTCCTTTACTTGTCTGTAAAGTCTCTAAAGTCAGGAACTGTAGTATCACTTCAGCTCTTTATCCCCAAAATCTAACATGGGACCTGGCTCAGAGCAAGTTCTGGTCAACTCTACAGAATTAATGAATGATTCTTTCTTATTATTACTTCTAATCACTGATATTACTTCTAGTCATTATAGAGCAGTGGTGTTCAAAAGGTGGGCCAGAGCCTATAAGCAAGCAGTCTTCTCTTTGCTCAAGGCTATTCTTAATTCTAAATGATAAAAGATATCTTTTTAGGACCAAAAGACCAGTTTGGGAATGTGTGTTCTCTGTATGCCAGGTAACTACTCCTGGAAACCCTGTAGCCTGGGCCAAGGGAACTTATGGTGGTGCTGTCAAACTGCCAGTTTCTCCTGGCCTGGATAAGGAATATGTACTTGGATCACGTCACCTTCTTGGCTCTGATTCCAGATAAGGTATGCCATAAAAATCAGTCACAAGGAAAGAGGAGGTAGAGCCTAGCTTGGTGACTAATTCTGTGGTTTTTCTTTGTCTTTCAGTCTTTACCAGTTTTCTAGTTTTGTCTTCCTTTCTTTTCTTAACATGCTATCAATCATGTGTTCAGAGGGATATGCTTTAGATGAAACGGCTTGGAAGGTGTGGAAAATTCTATTATGAAATAACAGTGACTTTAGGGAAAGCTTAAGAAATAGTTAAGAAGCCCTTATGCAGCAATCTGTGCTATATGCCAGTCATTGCAATTAATTGGCAGTTATAAAGAATCACGTGATTCCTTTCTTGTAAAAAAAAGTCTGTGTATTAAATAATCAGTTTTCTTTTCCTTCTGTGCTCCCAAAATGCTCTCAGTCAGCTTTAAATCTTCTAACCAGAAGATAAGAGGAGTCTAGTCTGGGGACTGATACTTGAGGGCTCCCAAACCAGTCGTGTTACCTGCCCAAGTCACTTTAAGTTGATGCCTGTCAGTCAGCAAATCCCACCTATCCATGCAGAACTTCCAATTAGTGTATTTACTCCTCTTTTACAGTTAGCCAAAGATCACTGGTCTTTTGAGAAAGGCATCTTACATAATACACAGGCCCAAACAAAACAAACAAACAAAAATCGGAGGAAATAGAAACAATGCAAGTCACAAAACTTTTAAAAGCAAATCCAGTATGTTTTCCAAAATATATTTTCAGAGAAGCTTTTGCATCTGTGAAAAGAGAGTAAGTTGCCATTTTAAAAAAAAATGAACAGGAAGAGAATAAGAAAGAGCTCTTGAGATTTAAAGTATAATCAGGCATTTTTATTTTATTTTTTATTTATTTTTTAAGATTTCATTTATTTATTTGACAGAGAGAGATCACAAGTAGGCAGAGAGGCAGGCAGAGAGAGGAGGGGAAGCAGGCTCCCTGCTGAGCGGAGAGCCCGATGTGGGGCTCGATCCCAGGACCCTGAGATTATGACCAGATCTGAAGACAGAAGCTTAACCCACTGAGCCACCCAGGCGCCCCTAATGAGTTGTTTTTTAAATCAGAAAAGTTGGAAGGTAAAATTGAAGTAGGATAATGAAACAAAAGATGGTAATACAGTTAAAAACAAGACAGAGATGCAATAGAAGAGGCCCAATATCTGGCTAACATGATTTTCAGAAACAGAATGTGGGGGGAGGAAATGAGGAAATTTTCAGAGAAATATCAGAAGAAAAATTTTTAGAACTGAAAGATATGAGTTTCCATAATGAAAAGGACCAGGTTGGTGTGTGAAAAAGACTCTATGATGGCGAATCATAAAATCTCAGAACACTGGGGATAAAGGAAAATCTCCATAGCTTCTTGGTCTGGAGTAAGGATGGAAGAGTGGGAACATGCTAAGTACAGAGATCTAAATAGCACTGAACTTCGTGCCACATTGAAGCAAGGAGATAACTGGGAATAACTTCTAATTTTTGACAAGTGTTTTGTTTTTGTTTTTTTTAAACCTAGAATTTTATACCCAGTCAAACTTTCTTTCAAGTGTGAGAGTAAAAACCCATTTTGAGATATGCAGGGTCTCAAAAATATTTACCTGCCTTACATCCTTTCTCAGTGAGTTACCAAAAGATATGCTTCCCCAGAACAGTGGTTGAAATTTAAAAAGTGGAAGACAGACAAACCAGGAAGCAGGGGCTCCCAACACAGGACCGAGGGGAAGAGAATTCCCATGGTGATGGAGAAGGAAAGCCATGGGATATCAGCTGTGCAGCAAACCTAGATGGCAACTCATCCAAGTTGGAGTAGAAGGAAGGAGGACACTAGGAAGTATGTCTTTAGAAAAAAATAACTGAGAGGAATTTGCAGTTCTTTTTATTTAATTATTTATTTACTTTTTAATTTTAAAATTTATTTATTGAGAGAGAGAGGTGTGTGTGAAGAAGGAGAGAGAGGAGAGAGAGAATCCTAAACAAGCTCCATGCCCAGTGCA